AACCCGGAACAAAAACGAAACAGCAAAATCGATTGTACTGTATTTTTCATATAATGTCACAAACAGATGGAAACATATTAGGTCAAAAAGGTAATTATAGAGGACGGTGATTTCGCTTGATTCTAGGCAATTCCATTTAAATATGTATGTTCTATATGAATTCTGACATTTCGCCGTAATAACTGTACTTAACTTTACATCTAAATTAAGATTTTACTTTTTAAAATGCAAAAATTCAACAATTTTTCCAAAAAGTGTCTAAATACGATCAGTCAAAAATATATGCATAACACTTTTCAAAAGACTTAGGTGTGAAACTTAGATGAAAAACGTTATCATGGATGAGAACCAATATTTAATAGAATTGTTGGTTCGATCTCACTTTTCGATAGAAAGTTTATTTATTAAATACATTGTAAGTTATAAAAAATGCAGAAATAAATAATACATACATATATGAATTTTATTAAAGATTTTCAAATCAAAATAGAATATTTTAGAAGTGATTTATTAAATGACCACTTAATATTGTTCAATCATAAATATTGAGGCTTGCCGTTGGTATGATTTATTAAAATAAATTCAAAATGTCATATTTTGATCCCTTTGATTTATTAAATATTTTTGTTTTTGTATTAAAATAGAAATATTTTTAAAATAATTTATTTCTGGTATCAATTCAAATAAATAATAATAATTTCATTTAAACATTAAGTCCAACCTTAAAATTATCGAATGTCACTAATTATTAACTTATGTATGTATAAAAGATTTCTCACGCATTATATATGTCACATAATTATATACGCATACGGCTATCACTGGACTGTTGCTGTTACCAGTGCCATTATAATTAATTGAAATTGTTATTTAAGTTTTCTTTATGAATTTTATTTAATTTTTTTCTTCCGTGTTTTTTCTTAAAATTGCTTAAGGCAAATATGACAGGAATGAAATTGAAGTATTTCATATTTAGCTAAAACAGTTAGCATAGAATAGAATATTTTGTTATACAGATATATACTTACATTCGTAAATTTATGCATGCATCTACATGCTTTCATGTTACAAGTTGCATAGATTTTTTTTTATCTAAGATATTAAACTATAATTATTATTCAAACAAGAATTTTATAAGCAAAATATTGAAATAAAAACATGTTAAAATTTCAAAGAAAAGAAAACTTGAGAGAAAAATGTAAAAGAATTTCTTAAAAAATTCCTAAAAGAGAAAAAAATATTATAAAATTTTTAACTGTTTTTATATTTTTAATATAATTATTCCCTGAAGAATTTTTTCGCCTGTTATACTAGTTTACATTGGTACAAGTTAACACTACAATTTGTTTTCTTTTTTTAAATAAATTTCGTAATTAACTTATGTAAGTATTTTAAAAGATTACACAATACCCTTTTGTATATTTCAAATTTCATTCACACATAAGCAATAAATAAATACAATTATATTTTTAAAAATTTCATTTAATATTCCAGATAATTAATATTTAATATTTTCTAGAAATTATTCTAAATTTCAAATTAAGCATCTTAAAATACATATTTTTTTTGTAAATTGTTTTTTTAATTGATTGACATGTTTATGGTTAAATATTCAGAAAACATGATTATTGTGATCGTGACAATTGACCGTGACAGAATCACATATATGATTCAAATATGTGATTCTGTCAAATGTAAAACAATTTTGTAATTAAAAATTTATAATGGAAATTCCATGGTGAAGATAATTCTTAATTAAAAATGTAGATTAAATCATTAATAAAAATTATTTGAGTGAAAAACTTTTAAAATCAATTACATTTAAAATATCAGAATGTTATTGATGTTAATTTATGACATTCATGGCTAATATATACATATACATTTGTATATTACATGACATATTAAACTTGTTAATTAAATTTTATGTCAAATTTTTTTTTAAAATTCAGGATATTCATTCTTGTGACATATACTAATTTTATATTTTGATTACTATTTGAATTGAAAATTTTATTTCTTTTAAATGAAGCAAATTTTTATGTGTATTTATTTTGGATTTTTCAAGTCCTTAATACAAAATATACTTATTAAAATAGGTACATAAACCTAAAAATTTATATATATTCATATAAGATTATTTATTTCAAAACTTGATGTCTTCCAAACCAGCCGCCAAACTGAATGTAAGAGTTTAAGTTTTTAAATTTACTAATTTCGTTTTGTTTATCAGTGTTACCACTGTGGCTCAAATAGAATAAACATAATCTTGTTTAAAATGGTGAATTTTTTCTTCTTGTTTTGATGCCGCGACAAATTTTTTTCGTAGTAAGTCGTATTGGGCCCATTTTCCTAATCTTAAAAACAAAAACTTAAGTCTATCCCTTTTTCAAAAACTTTGTATATAAAGTTTTATTAGAAAAATGTGATAAGATCGTAAAATTATGTTATAAGATTGTGTATAACTCTCTTAGTTTTGGGGATTTCATATTACTATATTTTTACTAAACCTGACCATTGGTGCAGTGGTTAGTGCACCGGTTATAGTGACCTAAACGGTCCGAGAACCAAAGGGTCTCGGGTTCAAACCCCGGTTAGGTCACTATAAAAATTGTGTTCAATATTATATAACTTAATATACAATACTAATAAATATTATACAAGTAATTTTTAAATGTTAATAATATTCGATATTAAAAACTAAAGAAAAAAAAACAGTAAATATTAATAAAACTTAAATATTTAATATAAATAAAACTACGGCAGGCTACTCACATACCTAGTTAACTCTATAAGACTATGAAACTAGGGCATTATATTTATTAGGAGTAAAGAAGAAAAAAAAATATTTTTACTAAAATCTTTCTCAATTTTTTTTTGAAAAATGAGTGACAACCCTGCGTTGTACTCTTACATCGTATTTCGATAAAAAAAATTTCTGTACATATTTTTCTTGAACTATAGCCAACTCTTTTATATACAAAAACAAATTGAAACAATACTATAATGGCTACAATTACAGTAGCTATTTTAATTTTATTAAAGGTTTTAATTACATAATTAAATTTAATTCACAATTGAAATCGCCTTATTATTTTATTGTCTCACTGACATTGATTATTTTATAGAAGAATAGAATAAAATTACAACACTTTACCTTAAAACAAATACATATGGCAATTTTGTATTAGATCCCCAATTTTCTTTTCTAATAAAAACATTTTTTCTAATTAAACAATTAAATAATAATTTAAAATGAATCTTATTATATTATATTCGCACTTAAAATATTTTTTTAAAAAAATTTTCCCTTTTATATTTATATAAGATGTTATTATTTTTCAATGACACATGTACATATGTAGGTATACGCGCCAAATTTATTGTTAATTTTTGATCTTTTGACATCTTTTGATCTTTCAATGTGTCAAAAGTTTTATAAAATAAAAGTATATGTAATAAAAAAATGATTATTATTTTATTAATATCACTTTATTGCCGTCGTAACCACGCCAACCAAACCAAATTCTTACCATTTTCTTTTTCTTTTATTATTATTATTTATTCAAATAATAAAACTTTATTAGAAATTTCCAAAAATTTTTATATATACGTAGGCAAGCAATAAAAAATTCCATAACAACAAATAATAAAAAAAAATTCTTATATTCTTCTCATAATTAAGATAAATTGTATTTTTTTTTTGAAAACAAATTATAGAAAAACAGGATATATTTGTATATATTTTATATAATTTTGGTATATTTTACTCACATAAAATATTTTTTGTGTTTTTTTATAAAATATATGTACAATTATAAGCAATTTATGAACCTACGCAAATTATTCCCAATTTTTAACTAATTACAGTAAAAATGTATACACATACATACATATATATATAACATGTTTTGTTTTCATTGATGTTAAAGGCGAAAACAAAATGAATTTTACACAAACATTCGTACATAATATAAAATATGCTTTTCTTCCTTTTTGTTTTTTTGAAAAATAAATTTAATTTGAATGTTATTTTGTACTTATTTAAACGTAAATGAACAATAAAGACATCAAATATGAAATGCAAAACGTTCTGGCATTCAAGAAAGATTTAAAATTTGTCTTGCATATGTTAAAAGCAGATATTTGCTCACAATTAAAAACATGCCAACACCATCAATTTGAGTACCATAAACCATAAATTAGTGCTATTAGAAATACCTGCAATGTCTTATTTATAATTATATTTTCATTAAAAATTTTCATATCTAATGTTCCCATCGAATCAAGGCGTTAAATTGATCGAACTCTTTGATTCCATCAACTTGACACTTCAAAATATCTATTTAAGGAACAAACACAGTCAGGATGAGATTATATCCTGTTCGTTGTCCTGAAAGTCGAAATATTACGAATATCATATTATCGATTCCGAATTACTTCGAACATTCATTGTAGAGTAATCATATGAATTATGCTCATATATTAAAAATAAATCTCAAAAGCCTACAAAAGAAATAAAGAGAATGGTAAATTTTTAAGTTTTAAATTTTTTCTCTGCTTTCTTCTTCCTCTAACAAAGCTACCATAAACGGAAATGAACGCGAACAAATAGTGTTTCCATCGCTGATTCCTAATCTCGAATAAAATTTATGATCATTCAAAATTCTACGTATCTAAGTTCGTAATTCGCAGAATTCTACCTAATTATGTTTAAGACGAAAACCGTTCTATTCAGTTTAGTCAGAAATCAAATTGTTTTGAGTTCCGAGTACAATATTAGGTTGCCAACGTAATTTAAAACAAAAAACAAATAAAATTTTCACAATATTATCAGGAAATGTTCTCCATTATAACAAGAAATCATATAATTTTCCTGTATGACTTTTCTTTTACAAAATTGATTCGTCCTTTTGTTAAATAATTTCACATTTTTTTTTTATTATTTTATTTTTTAAATATATATCATTCCATTTATTTTATTTTTTGTTTTTACAGTTCAAGCAGCACGGTATATCCCATCATATCAACATTTGGAAATAATAAAATTTGCTCCATCGAAAGTAAAATTCAATGATCTCCATAGTTACTTGCTTTTACCTTGTATGCCATCAGAAACAGAAAACATAATAAGTAAGTATATAGAAATTGAAACCTAACCTATAAATTTTGAAAAATTTAATGTACGTATATATACATATTTATGGGCTTATACATACAAATATGTGTTTATAAAAAGGAAAACGCAAAATATAAGAGGAAAAGGTATTTTCTTATATATGAGTTATTTCTAAGGATATTAAAAAGGTTTTGCTTTTTGTCTTTTTTTTTTAAGTCGAAATGTGCCAAAAGCTTTAAATAAATGTGATGAACTACATACCATAAAAATATTTTTATTTTTTATATCCACACTCAAAAAATATATTAAATAACAAGTGATTAAAATTACAAAAAACAAAAAAATATTGTCTATAAAAACATGTTATATAATCTACTACACAGGTACATATTCATTTGTTCATATGTTTATACATAATAATACAAAACGTGTATAATAATTTAATAAATTATATTGAATTTCCGTAAATATTTGGAAACAAACCATACAAAATATCAAAATAATTTTCAAGTGCACATATCCGAAATCTGCGCTTCTATCATATTATTTAACAGAAAACATAGTAACGAAGTTTTTGCTAACAGTAAATGATATTTTACTTTGCATTTTATTCCAACACTTGTCAAAATAACGCAACATAACCTCACTGTCATAAGATCAAAGACAAATACCAGTTTGACTTAAAATTACTTGGGACATGTTTAGGCTACATTTGTAGATTTTTCAAAAAAAACTTATCTCTTTATTAGCTCTGAAATAAAAAAAAAACACATTTCATAAATTATTTTTTAATTTACAAGAGTGCGCATTCTACGATATGAATAAAACTTTTGCAAATATTCGATATTGCATACCTACACAGCACTACAAGATATTTCGAGAATTATTTTGACACACTGTATATTATAGAATATTGTATTATCTATCAATTCACATGAATGAATATTACAGTTGTTAAACGTAGATCATTACTTTTCAAAAACTTCATAATGATGATGATGATAATAATGATGATGATACTCGTAACAATTATGGTAATGACATTAAAAAAAGCAAATTACATACTTGTATGTGGCGCATATATACATGTATTACATGTATATATACAAATATGTTACCACATTATTAGCGTACACACATACGTGTTGGAACTTTACAAATGTTCGTTAAGTTTTGGTAGGCAGCTGACTAAAAATGTACGTACAAGTAAAATCTTATGTTGTTACTTAAATTAATAAACGTTTTTACGTATATAACTGAGCGTTTATACAAAAATATGCGTAAATATCCTTGTTATATTACATGTATTCATATGTCATATATAAATTGTACATGTACAATCTATATGTATATTTATTATAAACATGTTATGTGTATCTGCTCATAAACAACAAAACTTTGTACAACTTTATTCGAAAAGAAAAATATTTTATACTAGTACCTATAGCTACTTGCTTTAAATTTAAAAATCATCCCATAACGACCCTACCATACATTCTGCAAAAAATATATATATCAATATATTATTTGAAAATAAAAGAGGGTAAAAAATGTATTGTTTACCTTTAAGACGTCTTATTTTGTTACCTTGATTTATATACTAATTGACTGTACATAGGAAAGTTTTCTATTTGTTTTGAACAAATTTTTATTAATATAAAAAAAATTTCAAGTGGATGATATGTAAGATATTTTATTTATCATATATTAAATTACAAAATTTTTGTACTATAAATAAGTAAAAAACCTGAAGAATAATCATTGTATGTAACCAAGTTACATAAAAACGTGTCGTTCATTTTTACATATATTTATAAACACACATTCTGAAGCTAAACAAATTGAAGATTAGATCACGGAACGGACATTTAAAAACATTGAAATAGAAAGTAAGTTTTTATTACATTAGGAAACAATGGTATTTTTAGCGATTTTCTAACTTTTTCAACTTTAAGACAGAAAATATCGATTTTCATTCATAACTCTTTATTGTTGAATTATTAAAAAGAAAAATATAATTAAAATTCTACAAGAACTACATTTATATCATTTAACATTGATTTGCATACTTCACGGAGCAAACATTGAATGTATAAATGAAATATTAAAAAGTTTTCTTATGTAGGAAAACTAATTTTTACTGTAATACATTATTATCGCTGTTATTAATTAATTAATAAAAAAAATGCAGAGTCGCATTTATTCAATAAAGAGTCGTTTTTGTTTAACTCCGACTAAGAAATAAATCCAAATGAATGAAAAATGTGTCAAAGAAACGCAGTTGCTTCAAAATGTTCTAAAGCAATGCAATAATTTGTAAAAATACTTGTAATTAATTGCAATATTGAAAAAAAATTATATAAATGAATAAAAAAAAAAAACAAATTTCTTCTTTTTTTCAGTTACATGGTATCGCAATAATGAATTGGTAAATTACTTTCGGCGAAATGAATTCCAAATATATCAGAATGGCTCTTTAAGACTTCCACCAAATGAAAAATCTAATGGAATATATCGTTGTTTAGTTAATGGCACTAAATTAGATTTGGGAGCAATATTCTCAAATTTAACGACAGTTGAATATCCAGGTTAGTAATTTTTTATCATCTTAGAATTTTTTAAATGATATTTAAAATATTTTTTCTATTTTATAGTATTAAAACGAAGAAATGATGCACCAACAAATTTTACAGTCGCTATTGGAGAAACTTTTAAATTTGATTGTCCGATTATAAGTATTCCTAGTGCAAGCATATCATGGTTTTTTAGTAATACATCTACATCATCTTTTCTTCCTATAAATGATGAGAACAGGCGAGTAAAGATCTTAAAATGAAAAATCGAGAAAAGTCATATCAATTTAATATTATTTTAATTTAAAAAATTTTTTTTTTTAATTTTATCATTACAATATCAACAAATAATTTAAATTTTTTTAGGAATTAATTGCAACTTTAAGAGAATAGCTTAAGAGAACAACAATATTCCCTTGCTTAAATTTTTTGACTTAAAATTTGACATCACATTTGCAATATAAGACTTACTCATAGACGCGACCCAACAATATACAATAAACATTTCATATTGCGCATAATAATTGCACCCCTGTTTTCCGGCGCTCATTGCATGCGCTCACTTTGCATATATGGTAGATCCGGCGATACTCATAGATCATATTCCAAAATATGAAACTCTAATTTATTATAAACCTGCTTCATATCCTATATTAAATAAAATTGTTTCGTTAAAAGTTTCTAACATGTATTTAGTATAAATTTATTATGATTAACTTCTGTTGTGAAGTCAATAAATTAAAAAACAATATACTTGATTCAGAATAATTGATTTTAAAATTCAAATATATTTTTATAGTGAAATTAACACATTTTCTAAATTTAAACAAACAAGCCATCAATCAAAGTTAATTTAGTTACAAGGCAGTTACAAAAAAAAATATTATAATAAATGAATAGTTATTTTTCTAAAGTTCCTAAAATAAATTGATCACGATTAACTTATTCGGAATTTATACTCGTATAAATAGTTAAATAATAACCATTAAACATAACTATTAATATGGAATAAATTAAATATTAAATAATTTTTTTCTATAAATCGTGACATAATTTTTCCTCTGAGAAAATGGATATTAGATGAAAAAAAAAACTGACGAAGAATTGAAATAACTCAATTATTAAAGATTTGAAAATAAAAAAAAATTACAAACAAAAAATATTAAAAATTCAATTTAAACATTTTTGAAAAATTTTCTAAAGAATTTTTTATAAAAAAATTCCAGGTGTGTTGAATTCATTTTTACATTTTTCAGCACGCAATTTAACCATGTTAGAAAATGCATACCTATACTATAATTAAAAAAATAATTAAATAAAATTAATTCAAATATGAGTAAAAATTCTATACTATTTCTAAAATATTCTTAATGCATTCAATTTAAATCAGATTAAATTTGTTAGAATGACATTATGTATGTATGTACCTACAATATATTAAGACAAGTTTATGTAGAGTTGCCGCCAAGCTCTAAAATATCGAAATTTATAATCGAATGATTACCCTATCAGTTCAGGAACATCAAATAATTGTCAATTATCATAAAATTAGAATTAATTTTCAAATTAATTTATTTATTATTACATCTTATTAAATTAAGAATATTTTTAAAAATTTCAGCTATATTATATTAAAAAATGGAAGCTTAATAATAAAGTCAGTTGAAGAATCGAATAAAGGTCGATATAAGTAAGTAATATAGGTTAATTACATACAATATGCAAAAAAATTATTAAAATTAATTATTTTTAACTAAATTTTAAATTTTTATATTCCAATTATAAAAGTAATAATTTTTAATACGTCATATTTTTAATATATTTTTATATAGATGTACTGCTCGGAATAAATATGCATTAAAAACCCATCGCCAAAGTATTCTTAATTTAACAATAATAACAACAAAATTCTCAAGTAAATCAACGACGACGACGACGAAAACGACGACAACAAATTTAGAAAAAAATTCCAATAAAAATTCTGAAAAATTAATAAGAATTTTACAAGAAAACACTTATTATGTTCGATCTGGTGATAACTTAATATTATACTGTGATACATATAAACAAGACATTAAAATTGCGTGGACATTTTTACCAACATGGAGTAATAAAACTTATGAAATAGCAAATCATACAAAAACAATAGAAATTGTAAATGCATCTGTTGATAATTATGAAGGAATTTATAATTGTTCAACAAGATCAGATTTCCAAGTAAGTATATTTATAGTAACTAGAATTAAGTAGTTAGTAACTAGAAGATGTTCAAATAATAGCGTCTAATTACTTATATATTAACCCATTCGAAAATGATATAGATATATCTACATTGGTAATGAACGTCTTCATTCAAACCTTCATAGTCCATTGCTTTATTTGCTCGCTCTATATTATTACATACATATTATATCTCGGTAATTTTTATTCTTAAATCTATACGAAAACTACATTATTTATAAAGCAAAAATAGCAATACAAAACAAATTTGTTTTTTCTTCAATAAATTACAATTCACTTACATGTGTTAATTGATTAAAATTACAAGAATTTGCATGAGATCCACAGCAGTTTTTTTCGTTTTTTTTATCATTATTCACTTGCAACTAAAAAAATATACATGAACAAAAATTAGATATTCAATTTTAGAATAATGTTAAAATTTTTTGCGATACTTACATAGTTTCATCTAATTTTAATTAAAATATAATTAACAAGTCTATCAGCATTCAGCATTCTGTTTTAATTTTAATTTATGTATACATGTATACTACACCAATTCCACGGTCTTTATGAACAAATTTGCAGAAATTACTGTGTGAAAGAAAAAAAATTGCTACATATTTTATTCATTTATTTATTCTATATTTATTTATTTATGGACTTCTATTACAGTTCCTTCTATTCGTAACAGCTTTAAAAATGTATTAATATTTTCGATTTATATTTTGTACATCCATTACAGCAAATTTAAAATATGTTCTACTACATATTGTACTACCATACACGTAGATTTGACATTTTGGATTTACCCGATTGAATAGACAAACAAATTCAAAAATTTACGTTAGACTTCCAAAATTGTTTAATTTAAGCATTTTAAAAATTAAAATTCATCAACTAAATTTATTAACATTAATCCGACATTAAGCGAAATTTCGTTACTATTAGCTGCAACATTCGTAATTACAACTTATCGCGATATAATACGAGTATTATATTTTTTTTGCTTATAAAAATTTTGTTTCTTGAAATATGAAACTAAAAATTTTCTTCTCTAGTTTTAAATGAACCTATATCTGTATTTTGCAAACAGACTGCATATTAATTGTATACGTCATTAATAAATTAAGAAAACAAAAAAGGCAATTTTCATACATACTTTACATATATATTACGTTAATAAAATATATATGTATGTATGTAACTATGTAAGGCATATAACATATAAAAATATATGTATATTGCCAACATAATTGTAGAAAAAAAATTATTTGCATACCCAGTTGCAAATTTTTCTTGCATACATGTTCTGTCATAGTATAATAAATTTCCAATTCCATTTAACATTTATCACATATAGCACTTAATTAAAATATATAAAATAAAAGCATTTTCACATATTTTACTTAACAGATTCCAATTTGAATGGCAATAGTCATCTCACAATTTTACAAAATATAGAATAAACAATCTAATATAATAAATGAATTGCACAAACTAACCTTAATTGAATTCGATTTATTTATAAATCCGATATATATCAAGCATGCATTTTTCCTATGCATGCTTGATATATATCGGATGAACTTTACCGTGAATAAGCACATGTAAAACTAGAACAATAAAGGTTTTAAATAAAAATATTTCCAAGTCACTATTAAATATCAGTTGCTCTTGTCGAATAATGTCATAAATAAACTTCGAATTTCTCATTCGACTGGTAAGACTATTTATTATTAAATTTCATTATTAATGCGAATATCCTACAATAAGCTTTCTAGCCTATTTGCAATTTATTTGGTTTTTCTTAAATTAATGTTATGTTCAATTTTATTACATTTGACTAGAATTTCCATTTTAGTTTAAATTCAAACGATTTTAGCATATAACAAAAATTTTTTAATTTTCAATACAAATTTTTAATAAGTTGTTTAATTTGATCAATAATCACAAAAATTTACATTTTAAATTCTTGTAATATTTCGAAATCATAGAGTAGTATAATACGCATATCTTTAGTAGTTTAATTAATTGTTTATAAAATATAAGAAAATACAGCAGATCCACAGTTATATAAACGTGCGCACAGATATTGACCAATGGATCTGACCAATCAATGTTGCAGTGATTATGGCACCTGACTCAAGCTTAAATCCTGGTCATGTCATTATAATAATTGTACTTAATATTATGTAAAATATACAATATTATAAAATAAAATGTTGATGTAGAAGTAATTACCCATATATCTATAACGTTCGATATTTTATACTGAATACAAACTAAAGTAAATAATAAATGTCAATTACCTTCAATATTTAATAATAAGAAGAGAACTAGAGCGGGTTGGTCTTCTTAACTTAATGACCTGTAAAACTGTTGCTTGACTCTATATAATCCAATTGAAGGTCCTAATGCGCCCAAGTGTAAAAATAAAGGAAATAAAACAAAAATACGTATCGACATTTATTTCTGTAAAAATAAAATTATGTTGTACTGACTGCTCTTGTTATATGAGTATATTAACAAACATTTTTTGTGTTAGGCCAATATGTGTGATTTTTGTAATGCCTTAATCAATCTAAATCAAAACCTCTCAATTATTAACACCCGTCTCGCTCATGTCAATATTAGGTTATCTGAACACCTTGTGACATTTGTTAGTCCTCGTAAGTGAGAATAAAATTATAGAGAAAATTAATTGAAATAAATTGTGAATTATTTTCAATTACCAAAAAATTCACATGAAATGAAAACTAAAATTGAACTATATAACTGTGAATATGAGTGCAGCATGCTTGATTATCAAACTATTATTGAATATAGAAAATATAACATACTACTCCAATTTCCTCTCTATTACTTTTATTTGTTTATAAATCTGCATTAACATTTTTAATTGATAGTTTAAACATAATATAAATAAAAAATTCAAATTCAGATACAAAAAATAATTTACTGAAAAGTAAAAATTTACTCGCTAAAACGACCTTTTGTAAAAACTATTTACGATTATAAAAAATATATTAAATAATAAAAAAAAAACAGAATGATTTTTATTCAAATTTCAATATAAAAATTTTCTTTGATCTTAAGCCATAAAAATTTAAAAACATTTTTATCACCAGTTTTAAATACAAACAATATTAATTTATTAATTAAATTAAATGTTTGTAATAAAATATAAAATCTCAGATTTATGTAGGTGCACGCATTATTAATAATTAATAAATAAAACATAATGTTAATAATTTTATGATTCTAAAAATTTAATTGAAAAAATTCAGATTTTATAGAAAAAAAATTTAGAATTAATTTTTATTAAAAAATTAGTCATTAGAATATTTAAGCTTGCTTACATTTTACACTTTTGTCGCGCATACCATGTTGATCAACAATTCACATAACATTTAAAATTCAATGAACAGCTAAAATATTTAAAAAAAAATTGTTACAAGTACGAGTAATATTTCGTTCTATCGTAATGAACTAAAAATATTTTCGTAAACGTGAATTTACTTTTGTGCACACAAATTATATAAGCACTTTAAAAATGGAAGACCCAGATTGAAGTTGGTAATTGATATTTTTCATGTATCGAAACAATAATTTATTCAATAAACAAACCGAATTTTTGTTCTCCATTTAATTTAATTTTAAAACATAATTAAGTAATTTCCATTCAAAAAAGGCCCCAAAATGCGTACGCATTATGCATTTAAGCTCTAGAGTATACAAAAATTTTTGTTATAATCTAAAGCTTTGCAATAAAAAAATTGCATTCAAATGCATACACCTACATACCTTAAGTAAATAATTTAAAAATTATATGACGTATTTGTAAATATTAGTATATTTGACAGTTTATGTTTATGACAGGAAATTGATTTTTAATGACTTTGAAAATTTTTCAATAAACATAAATTATATTTTAATGTCTTAACGTTTTACATAATAAAAAAGTGTGAATAGAGACAAAAGTATGGAAACATAATTGCTAATACGTATTCAAATGAAACTTTTAATAGACTCTTGATATTGTGTAAATTAATCAATAGCTTATGTTCGTGATGTGAGCTGTTCCATTCTTTTGTATAAATTTTTTTTTTTTAAAGTGAATTCTTCTTAAACGTCACTATAATGAGATGACGATGAATTTTCTATTTGAATATTTTTAAAAAAAAAAAAACTTTAAATATTACTATTACATATTTATATTAATTTCTTTTTTTTAGATATTTAATGTTATAGTTACAATTCCTCCAGTGATTGATAACCCTTTAGTTTCGTATGAAAAACAAATAGCTAATAAAGTATCTTTAAACTGTACGGCAACCGGAAAGCCAGAACCTGAAATAATTTGGTGAATTTCTTAAAAAATCACTTAAGAATAATTTTTAATATTGTAATTCTATATTTTAATTTAAAGGTATCGTAATGGTATCAAATTAGAAAATAATTATACTATTCATATAAATTCATCCAATCTGAAAATAAATTCTTTCGATGATAAAGATGTCGGAGTTTATCAATGTTTTGCGCGTAATATAGCTGGAGAAACAAGTTCAACATCATATTTAGAATTAAAACAAAAAGATATTGAAATGTTACCAGATCGTCCTCGTAATGTTAAATGTTATCCAATTAATTATCGTTTAATGAATGTAACATTCGAAAGTAATCATCATATTGAAACTATTAATATTAATATGGCTAGAAAAAATCCACCAGAATGGTTTGCTCAATTTCCTCTCGATACAACACAAAAACAATTTTTACTTATTCAAGATAGAATTATATTTGAACCCTTTATGCTATATTTAAGGACAATTGTATTAACAGGTTATAAAAAATTTAATAGTGGAAAAGAAGAAAAACATGTTGAACCATCATTAATGTCTGAGGGTGTATCGTGTGCAACACAAGGGTGTAAGTAAAATTTAAATAGTATTCTTTAAATTTATTATAAAATTTAAATTTAAATTTCAATTTTATGTTTTTTTTTAGTGGAAATTCATCCAGTATTTTTTCCTAATGGAATATACATTTGGTGGTACTATGAAAATTCGAAAAATAAACAAAATATTATAATTGAATATTTTGTAATACAATTTCTCAATGATGGAAAGAATTCAAAAGAGGAATCAACAAAATTTGGTAAAGAAATCATTGGAACAACACGACCATTAAAATCAATTGAGCGAAAAAATATTGAACAGATGTTAGAAAAAATTCCTGTTTTAACAAAATTACCAAATTCTGAGAATTTTTATCTGAACGAAGCTGATGACACCGAAATAACAAATTTAATTGTAGCAGGGAATATAACTGGAATACTTATTCCTAATACAACAAAATTAATTGTCCGCATTATTGCAATTACGGAGGCTAATAAAAATTTTAAACAAGATTTTCGATATATGGAATGGAAAAATGTAATTTTAAACAAATACACATAAAAATTTACTCATAAATTTTATATAAAAATATTATACATTATTTCTTTTTTGTAATTTTAAGATTAAACGACAAGAAAAACAATTTGCTGTACCAATGATACAAGCAATCAATTCACGAAGTATTAATTTTCAATGGGATGAACAGTTAATAGCGAATATTTCATGCGTTCGTGTGTGTTATCAAAGTACTAACCTTAATGAGAGGTGGATAAATGGTAAAGGAGCCTGTCAAAACATGTGAGTCGGTATTTAAAGTGAAAATGTACCACATATACGGAGATGACAAAGCACTAATAAACTAAAATTTTTCGTTAATTGAAAAAATAATAATTCAAATAAAATTCTTTTTTTTTTTAGACAAACCAAAAATCCTATATTCACAATTGAAAAATTGAAACCTAAATGGTCACTAGAGTTTACATTCAGTGATTGTGAAACGAGACATACATATGGCAGTATTAGTGAAATTGTTACCTTAGCAGATCGTAAGCCGAACTTCATTAAATGAAAAGAGTTTTTTGTTTTATAAATATTTTCTTCTTTTATTTAAGCTCCTGGTCCAATATCAAATTTTAGAATATTTAAAAATGATGGTTATAAATTAACATGGGATCAACCAACAAACCCCAACGGTAAAATTGTAGCTTATCTTATAGAATGGACTGTGAATAACTCCACAACGTATCAAGCTAATGTAACAGCTAACGAAAAATATTTTCAAGTAATTCACTAAAATTTATTTTGTTATTGCAACTATAAATAATTCTTTACTTATTTCTTTTTAGTTACCCAACATAACAGAAAATATTAATATATCCGTGCGAGCATACAGTGAAAATTCGCTTGGCTTACCAATTTATGTGGATTTAAGCAAAAACATTGAAAGTATTGAAACTGAAAAAAATGATTATTTTGATCCTGTTATTGGAATAGCAATCGGGCTATTTTTATCAATAATATGCGTAATATTCTTTATTTTTTTATATATTAATCAAAAGAAAAATTTTAAAACACGCTTGGCTTCGCCGTCGTCAACAACTATCGCACCGTTTCCACCTATTTCAACTGGAAATATATCTATAACAGGAATAAATGGTTCTGAAATTGGAACTCGACACAATCGTATTTCACCTACTAAATCCTTAAATATTAATCCAACTTTAATTAATCGAAATTTAAATGCTGGAATTGAAGCAAACAAATTATCTAGTGAACAGGATTGTAACGAATATCATGAAATGCAAACTTTAATACCCCACCAATCAAATTTAAATGTTATTAGCTCGAATGATAGAACCACTATACTAACACCATTAAGTGATATTTTTCCAGTTCCACATAATGGCGATGCAATTGCATATTATTATCGAAATGGTAATAGAAATGATGATGAACTTGAAAACGATGCCTGTCCTGTAGCGTTATGCAGTTCAACACCCTTACCACAACGTAGTAAATCATCGAATTTCAATACGAATAAATTTTTAGAACGAAATAAAACTCCTTCAATAATTCCAATATCTTTCAAAAATAAAAATAAACAGAAAATTAAACTTAAAAATCACAAAATTAATAAAACAAGTTCCTCACCAGATTTCAATACAAGTGAAACGTACTTCGAACGGAAATCATTAGACAAAAATTATGTAGATATGGACATCAATGTCACACAACCCATAAATAAACCAATAGCAATATCAAAACAAAATGGTTCCATTAAAAATACCTTACCTTCATCAATACCTAAAAATAAACATTCCAAAACATCATCTGATGTAGCGTTATGTAATTATAAGGATTCGAAACATCCTTGTAATAAAAATTCAGATGTAGAGGTAAAATAAATAATATGACGAATAACATTTTCTTATTTTAAAAATAAATTTTTTTTTATTTTTACTTTTAGAAAATACATTCTATAGTAGATTCCAATTACAATACAACTCCTATGGAGAACAATAGCCAATATAATAAATTAATAGAAGATAATAATAGTTCTTGTGATAAAAATTTTAGCCAAAATTCTACAAATAACGATAGTAGTAATATAAGTAATTGTACAGCAACAACAATATTAAATTCAGAAGATATTAGTAACGATGGTGGAGGTGGTGATAACAATGGTGTTAAAGAAACAAAAAAAGATATTTTAGGAATCGTTAATAGTGATACTTGTAGTAGTAAAGTTTCTATTTACTTAAAAGAAGATGGAAACGGTATAAGTAAAGCTGGATTTAACAAAACAAATTTAAGTGTAAAAGAAATAGAAAATAATTTAATAAGAGTTAATCGGAATTACAGACGGCCTATTATTGACCCAAACGGTTAGCTAACAATTTTTCATTTTGGAAAAAATTGGAAATTTTTATAAAAGGTTGTTATTAAACAAAAAAAAGAAAATTATTTTGATTTGATTTTTTTTTTTTTTTGATTTTTTAATCAATTAAAGAAAGATTCATTTTGTTTTTAAGAAAAGCATTAGAATTTATAATTTTTTAAAAACTAAATTTAACTATATATAAGTATATAGGAATATATAATAATATATAAACTCTTTTTTAATAAATTTAAGAAAAAAAAATGAGGCTCTCTCGAAAAAAAAGTCGTTTATGTAAAAATGACTTTATTTTAAAATTATGTTAATAACGAATATAACGTTTAACACGCACGAACTATTCTTTTGTAAAATACTACAAACTCTTGAATATTTAAAATCGAAAATTTTTTTGTGCTTAAATGTAATGCTATTAATTTCTTTTTTTTTTTTACAAATCTTAAATACAAATACTATAAGGATTGAAGTTATTTCAAAAAAAAAAATTTAATTATGTTTATTATTTAAGCCAAGGTGAAAATTTTTCAACAATGTAGCTATTCAAACTATAATTTAAAATGTGTAAAAAGTTATTAAACAAAACCATTCCAAATATTAAAAATTAAAAAAATTAAACAATGTAAGGGATGAACTTTAAAAAATACTTAAATTTTCTATTATCTAATTTTCAGTCTAAATTCTTACTGAATAATAATTACATTTACTTGTTACAAAATATTTAATATCATGTTATTAAAATATATTATTATAAAAAATAAGTTCAAATTTATGCATTGTATTGTTTTCACCTTATTTTTTTTGCGGCTTGGGAAGAAAACAAAGAATAAAATCTAAATTTAATTTTAAAATATGTGTAATTATATAAAAAAAAATATTATTTTTTTTTTGTAAAATTTAAATCTTCTTTATATTTTTTTCATTTTTTATAAAAAAAAAATTATTTAATTACACGCTTTTTTTTTTATTTTATTAAATTTCTAATATAAAGTATATTTTTTTAAAATAATTTATAATAAAATTTCAAAATTAAACAACCAATTAATTCTTAGAAGAATACACAGAAAATTAAAAATATTATAAGAAAAAAAAAATTCCTTGCATTTTATTAAGAAGTGAAGTAAAAAAAGTTGAGTTTTAAATTGTTACTGTACCTGACTATTAAATAATTTATTATAAAGTAATAAAACAATAAAATATTTTCAATTGATTTCTATACAAATAATTTCATTAGAAGCACACAAATAATTTACACAAAATACAAAAAAAAAAAAAACATAAAATGTTAAAATAATCGAAACAACTTAAAAATCCAACATTAAAAATATTTCAGTTTAGCATTTTATAATTTGTACAAAATTTTATTAGAAATTTACTAAGAATTATAATGTACGAAAAATAAAAGAAAAAAACAAAGTTTTTTAAAAATTAAAAGTAAAATAAAAAAATTTGTAAAACCTTAATTGGTTACTTTAAATTTCAATTAAAAAAAAATCACAAATGAAAGTAATGACCGTAAATATAAAACATGAATTAAAAGAAGAAAATAATATGACCCTCAAAAATATTTAAAATAAACCTTTTCATAATTAATATAAAAATTTGATACTGTTTATATATATATTATATAAAAGAGTAAAGTTATAAATAGTGATTGCAAATTTAAAACATTATATTTATAAAAAAAAACATAAAAATGGTATAAAATCTTATTCAAAGTAGAAAATTTAATTTAATCATTAACTAATTGTTGTTTATTATTTTATAAAAAACTAATTCATTACTAATTGAAATTAATTATCGAAATAATTATTTTAGGCAATTACTTAAAATTTCCTATTTAATTTCATACCTCCTTACTAAAAGCAAATTTTAATACATAAAAAATAGACATTCAAAATTACAATTTGCAAGTAAAAATATAAAAAGATGTAAGAAATGTTTTTTTAATAATTTAACAAAAATTAAATTTTCAATTTTAACTAAATAAATTGAATTAACACAAAATGCTTATTACAACACAAGTATGTTTTCTGTTTTTTGAAAATCGAATAAAATAAATAAGAATTTTCATTTTAATATTAAAAAATTCAGACTTAAAACTAAAAACTTCTAATTTAAACACCTTTCAGTACAAAAGAAAAAAAACGCATTGCATAAATGTTATAATGTAAATATTTGATAACTTTCTGCAATGCAATTAATAATCCAGTAAAACGAAAGAAAAATAATGTAAAAAAAAAAAACCTGAGTATTAAAAAAAAAACCTGAATTACCTGAAATTACCTTGAGAAAATAAAATTTTTATAGAACGGTTTTTCCTGTTAAATTGTAAAATTGAAAAAAAAAAATATGAATGTTGTTTAAAGAATTAATTTTGTTTTCTCCAATTTAAATATTTTGATAGAAGTGAAAAAAAAGCAATATAACTATACAAAAATGTCCTTACATACAAAATACGAATTGAACAAAATTTAAATGAAATAAATCAGTATCAAAAAAAGGATAAAAAAAAATGTTAATTCTTGTTTATTTAATAATATTTCAATTAATTTCAAAATATTTAATTAATTTCAATAGATTCGTTTTAATTACATTCATTACGATTAAATTAATGGTTTTACTATTGAATAAGATTCAAATTTGTTAGAAAAAAAAAAAGCACAATTAATATACAAAAAAAAAAACTTTAAAAAAAAAATAATTCCGCTTTTTTTTTTAATTTTGATTTCTCTTTAAAAAATGTTGATGTAACAAGAATGAAAAAAAATAACAAAACGTTGAAAAATAAATTGTATATAATGTAATTTTAATTCAACAAGAAATTAAATAAAAAAAAAAAAATTGTTAAAATTCCAATTTTTTTCGCAATAATAAATAATATTGTTTTCCTAAAAAATACATTTCATTTACCTATTAATTTGTAAGCTGTATTAAGCTGTAATCTAACATGTTATATTAGATTGGATCAAATTTAATAGGCAACAGATTAATGTATCGTAAAACTAAATAAAAGGAAAATTATTAGATCATATTATTAGATCATATAATTTGAAAACAAAGCAATTTTACCCTTGTTTCTTGCTTTTGTTTAAAAATAGTTTCTTATTACAGAATAACTTATATTCAAATATTATTAAAATGTTATTAATTAAATAAATGTTAATAATACACTTAAACTTTTTAGTTAGAGAAAAAAAAATTATATTATATAAATTTATTTTATTAACGTTCTAATTTTTTTTTCGCCTTAACATCAACTTGTAAAATTTTTATGTGAAATACTAATAATATTATTATTATTGTAACAAAACAAAATACAAATGAAACTACATACTAAAATTATAAAATAAGTTATAAATTTGAAATGTTTTATAATTGAGTGCATAAAATATATGTGTATTTATATAAAGAAAGAAAAAAAAAACATGATTATGTAAAATGTAAAATTGATTTATAATCTAACTTTTTGTTTTTTTTTTTTTTATTATTTATTGAGAGAATGATAAAAAAATATGTGTTTAAGAGTAACTATAGAATAATGTTAAATAGGTTAAAAAAAAAAATTGAATTTTATTTTAATTTATTTCTTTTCAATTTCTTTGTAATGATTTAATTTCTTTGTTAATTTGTTTTTTTTTTTTTTTTTATGTTTCTATTCACTCAGATCATTTATATTTCAATAGCAAAATAATAGCCAAAGAAAATCAATAGACCATATTCTACAAATCCGAGAATTGATACATAGATTATATTAACAATATTTTCTCACAATTTCCGATAAATATAAAAAAACAAAAGTAAAGTAAATTAATGAGATTAAGTTTTTTGACAGCTCATATTTAATATAATTTCAAATTTTTCCAGTAAATTCAATAAGGTAATCAATAAATTTTTTCAAAATGAAAATCATTTTTAAATAGATATTCATAAAATTGTATTATTTCAAATGAAAAATAATATATTCAACAATATTCACTGAGACGCATCACTTGAAGTGAAAACTTAAAAGCGATAGTTGTTGCATCAACATAGATGTGATTAATTTTAATGATTTTTATTTCAATTTAATTTTTTGATACGGATCTTTAAATTATACAAATATCATGAATATATTATGCATTATATAAAATTTTCCTCTAAATTTCAATAGTAATTAATTTAAATATAAAATAAATTTTATAATTAAAATCAATTTGGAAAAAAAAAATATAAATCTCTTTAATTTGCTGAAAATAATTAAAATATTTTACGAAAAAAAAAAAAATAAATAAACTGCCAATAGTACCATAAAACATGTGCAACAAATAATAAGTGTTCAATAGATAAAAAATAAAATAGTAATTTAAATTCACCAAATCATTCTTATTTATGCTTTCTATATAATAAATATTTTTAACATTCCTAAAATTATTCATTACATTTCACTTTTTTTTTTATTTTTTAATATGTATAAACATTATTTTTTTTTTTTTTATTCAATATATTATATATAATATATGTTTACCGTTATGTATGTTTAAATATATGTTTCAAAACGTTGAAATTTATTATCTGTGAAACTAAAATAACAAAGAAAAAATTAAGTACATTTATACGAATAAGAAAAAGAAAAATTTTTCATTTTAGAAATTAAAAGAATAATAATAATAAAAAAAAAAAAAAAATTATATTGTAATATTATTTGAAAAATTTAAACGAATACAAAATTTTGAAATTGAATATTTTGCAACTTATAAATAAATAAAAAGTAGCATTTTTTTTCGAATCGAATTTATTTTTAAAATTAAAAAATATTATGTGTTTTCAAAAATATATTGAATTTCTTTATTATAATATTGTATTTTTGTCCTACCCTTTATACTGATATAGATGAACCATAAACTCTTCAAAAAAACTTCATTTACCATTAATTTTTTAACCAACATATTTTTTTCCTTTAATTTTTTTTTTTCATCAAATAAATATAATTATACAAATTTTAATTTAAATATTAATTAAATATTTATTAAATGAAGAACGTACTGAAATTAAAGAAAAAGCACATCATATCAGTATAAAGGTTAAACTGATTTTTGTTAGTTATAAAATATTTCAAAGTTATTGTTAAAATAGAATTATAATACGTATTTAAAAAAAAAATAAAAATTTCTTAGATTTATAATGCTACTTTAAATATTTTTAAAATCTCTTTTATTTATATATTTGTGTTTGGAACTATTTTATAATTATTTACAATATAAATTTTCTCAGATTAAAAAAAAAAAAAAACCATTTCCTACTTTGTTTTTCACGTTAAAATTAATTGTTATACACTTTTTGTAAGAACATATAATTTTTAATAAGAATTATTTTTTATATGAAAAGAAAAAACGAAAAAAATAAAGTAAAAATAAAACGTTTGTTTTTTATAAAATTTCAATTTCTTATTATTTATAAAACTTTTTTAACAGATTTAAAATTTTCTCAATTTTCCAAAAATTAATTAATAAATCATTTTCAGCTTATTGAACTTTGAGAAATCCTTGTACATATATATAGTCTTTATTAACTATATGTTATTCCCAAGTATTCTTTAATTTAATTAAGCAAAAGCTAGTATCCTTAAATTTACAACTTTAAATTCTTAGCTATGGTACTATGAAAGTATGTAAATGCACTCTTTGAATAAAATAAAATAAAGATTTTAGCTGGGAAAAGCAAATTATATTTGCATCTCATGTTTGCGTGGGGTACGAGTTTCAATTTCTAGAAACTTTAAAAAATAATAATTAAATACAACAAATTCATTATAAAGAAGAGAT